TGGTGATAGAATGACGACGAATCCAGAAGTGGGACGCGTCCACGCTAACTGTAAATAACATTTTGCATTGTTCCGATTTTGACGATTCTTTCTTATCTATACATATAAATGAAATTGGAGTATTTGTTTGTAATATTGAAATAACCGTTTTTTACTACATGCATATGAATATAAATACGGTACCAAAATAACATTTTTTACAATTTTTCCTGTTTGGTTTCCTGCTAATCTCTGAAATGGCTGGACCGATTTTGACGAGACTTTTATGAACAAGTAGCTGATGTAATAAAGCTTAAAGTTAGGCTACTTTTATTTTAGAAAATAAAGTTAAATTCACGCGGACGAAGTTGCGAGTACAACTAGTCTTAAATAGAGTTGAAGTTGCTATGAAATTTAGAAAACTGCACATATAAATATCGATCTAATCGGTTGTCAATATTTTGTTTATTTATTGAGGGGTTTGGGCAATTGTCAGGTGCTGTAACACTGCGACCTGCATAGATCTATTGTGCTCACCCTTATTCAGAGTTCACTACCTAGACCCGTCAGGGACAAGAATTGAAGGACATTCTTAGGAGCGATGGTTTTTATCTCCCCAAGATATAGTCTAAGCATATACTTGTGACTATATCTTCATTTAAGCATGAGAGGGCTACAACCACATAGGATGTACAGTGGCGTATCCCCTTCTGCTTGGCCAAATCTGCTCCGGTTATCAATAACAAAGCGTTGTTTTTGTGAATATTTTGATCGATCCAGAACAATCTCAAGCAATGGGGCGTGACCCTGCCACGATAGTTATTGGTTTATTGTGTGTGCGATGCAGTGCCGGTGACGTGTCCTACTCTGCCAGGGGTGGCGGCGGGGGTGCGGGGGGTGCTGTCGCCCCCTGGCCCGGACCCGCGGGTTATCACAGCGGTTTGCTGCCGTCATTCACGTCGCGCTATCACAGCAGGGACCCGGCGCACTACCCCATACGATAAGCACTGACTACCTATAATACTATACTTTGCTACACACGTATTGATGATGCCCATAAAAACCAATTCGTAATGATGCAATAGTAACATAATTCATTATTTATCGCCAACATAACATACGCCGACTTAGATAAAGTACTATTCACTCGTATAGATACAGTTAATTAAGTGTTATATATTATACTAGCTGTACTCGCGAGTTTGTCCGCATGGAATTTAACATTATTTTCTAAAATAAAAGTAGCCTAATTTACTCCGTATTACATCAGCTACCTGCCAAAAAAGTCCCGTTAAATCAAGTCATCAACAATCAATGCTTAAGCAGTAAGATTTTCACATTTCTTTTCTAATTGCACAATTGCACTTATTAGAGTGAGGTTGCAGTCCCCGGTGCTATTCACGTGAATTTTCAAGTATTAAATCCACAAAGACTCTACCTTGGTATACATTTTCTACAAAAAAACTCTACATCACCTTCTTCAGTCACCAACCAAGTACAAAAGCAAGCAGGGACTTACTACATTTTCCAAACTTATACTACAAACAGATATTTTTACCTATATGAATTGATGAAATGGTAAGAATGTGTTCCTTCCTGATCTGATCTGATCCATCGATACGATTTTGAAATACATTTGACGATGGAGAGATAGGTGCTGATTAGATATGCCGGCCCAAAGATAAAGTACGGCAGCATTCGGAGACCTATATTATTTGGATACGACGCAATGCTCCTTATATCGGTAATTTAATGACATGCTGTGCTGTGCTGACTAGCTGTACCCGCGTCTTCGTTCGCGTGGAATTTAGCAAAAAAGTTAAATAGAGAATTTTTCTAAAATATAACTTGCCTAAGTTACTCCTTATTACATCAGCTACCTGCCAATAAAAGTCCAGCCATTTCACAGATTAGGCGGAACATACAGGCACAAACAAAAATGGTAACAAATGTTATTTTGATGTATGCACCGTATTTATATTCATATGCATGTAGTAAAAAACGGTTATTTCAATATTAGAAAGATTCATTCGCAATTTTATTTATATGTATAGATGTATATAATAATTGTAATTAGATTGAGTAATTAATCAAATATCTAAATATACGTAAATATATTCACATAATGGTGATGTTATCATATGAACCTCACATTATTTGTCATTATTATAATTATTTTTAATGAGCTCATTATGTAATGTACGTAAATATAGTATGGGAAACGATGTAGGCAGGCGGAGCAGCGGCCGCCAACAGGACTTCTTGTGTTCCGCATACTTTGACTGTGATAAAGGTTGTAGATTATTTTTATCTATTATTCTATTTGTAATACATCGCATATTTTTGTCATAATTCGACGACATCGAAACACAGAACGTCCACACCGCAGTGCAGTCCAGTCCTGGACGTGATCGTGGTCCTGCTCCAAACCGAGTGTGACGCCACGCCGTTTAGTTTTCAAGAGAGACGGTAATTCATACCTAGTACCATCCAATAGATGGATGTGAAACAACGTATCAATTTATATGTTTAACGCCGACAATGCACTTGCAATTTCCCTCGTGTTGCGGGTGCTTATAGGCGGCGGTAATCACTTACCATCAGGTGAGACGCGAGCTCGTCTGTCCCCTGTATGTATGCTGTAAAAAACTATTTTATTATATTCTTTATTGCACAGATAATCATTATCATTACATAGTATAAAATAAAATCGCTGCCGGTCTGTCCCCTATGTATGCTTATATCTTTAAAACTACGCAACGGATTTTGAAGCAGTTTTTTTTAATAGACAGAGTGATTCAAGAGGAAGGTCTATATATATAATACATATATATATATGCGAAACTGGGGTGAGTAGCTAGTACTATATAATTTAGAGATGATGTGAGACAAGGAGGACTTATCCCTAGAAGAGATCTCTTCCAGTCAACCTAAAACAGTGGCATAGGTAGTACTCAATGGGTAATAACTGATGCAAAAAAAATATCAAATGTTATTTTTATAGCATACGAGCTACATGACCAGAGACCTTCAAATCATTATGGATGCCGATATTTTTTTCTTGGACCTGGGCGGCACTCGACAGCAGTCATTCTTAACGATTATATCCTCCTTGTAACATCCCCTATGTTTGTATCTCGTCTCAGTTTGACTACCGCTCTACCAAGCAATTCAAATTCAATTACTGTGTCGTCTGCAACACAATAACTTGTGTGTGTTGGTGTTCTTTTATGTATGACTAGCTGTACCCGCGACTTCGTACGCGTGGTTTTTAACTTTATTTTTCTAAAATAAAAGTAGCCTAAGTTACTCCTTATTACATCAGGTACCTGCCAAGAAAAACCCCGTCAAAATCGGTCCAGCCATTTCAAAGATTAGCCGGAACAAACAGACCGACAGACAGACAGACAAAAATTATAAAAAATGTTATTTTGGTATATGTACCGTATATATATTCATATGCATGTAGTAAAAAACGATTACTTCAATATTACAAACAGACACTCCAATTTTATTTATATGTATAGATAATGGAATGGTGCACACTCCGGCGCTAACGGTTTACGCTGGCGGGGCACCAGTGTAGGATGAGGTCAGGTCAGTTAGCCCATCGTGACATTTCACCAAGAATTTATCCCGATGGTTTCGGGGGGGAACCACGTGACGATTAACCTGCCACGGTACATTGCTAGCAATAAAATCATCAGTCATATTGCTAACAATCCCCTTTCCCCCAGTATTGGTAGCTACACGGCACTGTCGCCGCCAAGAAAAATTTATTTAGTGCAAGGGTCTTCAACCCGCAGCCCGCCGATGTGTTTCCTGCGGTCCGAGAGCATAGGACCGTTTGCAATAACGACGACAATTAAGTAATAAAAGGTACTTTTAATAAAAAATCCTTATAAAAATCCCTATGATGCGGCCCGCTATGCAGAAAAAATTTTTTTTGGCCCTTGATTTGTAAAACGTTGAAGACTGCTGGTTTAGTGTTTGTTTTTACGTAGGTTCGTAGTGTTTGCTCAGATGTAGTACTCACACGATAGTTACAGAGTGCGGGCGGCGCGGCGCGGCGGGAGACAACTATTCCAAGCTGCGCACCGACACCCAAACTGCACCGAATTGTCCCAACACGCCAACCTACGTACTAACATACAGCACACCACACATGCACCTACATATATATATATATATATATATATATATATATATATATATGTATATATATATATATATATATGTTGTACATTAGCTTACGACGCACTTGAACCGCGAGGGTCAGATCGAGGTTCAAGTGAAAACAACGATCTATTTACCTACATACTTAGTAATGTTGTATTTATGTCATTATTGTGTAAACTATATATTTTTCTTTTCTTATGGATGTTAGTGGAATGGTGCCCCTGCGTGCGCTAACTATTTATGTTGGCCGGACACCGGTGGAGGATGATAAGATGAGCCTCATGCTCATCTTAACGGGGCAGTTAGTCCTTTGAAGTAAATTCACCATGAATTTATCACAACGATTTCCGATTAGTGCACATTACTAACAATCCCCTACAGGGTGGACCCTGTATAAACTATTTTATCTGCGGATAGGTCTAACGTAAGTTATTATTAAATAACTTACCTGAAAATAACTTATAATTCCATGCAAATATAGTATAAACAAACTAAACCTCTGGTAGTATAGTAGTGGTTCCCTGTAAACATATACTTTAGTTAGACTACGATATGTACTTTATTATACGGATCCAATGTTAGTGAACTATTAAATTAATTTACGATATAAATATATTAAAATATGATTTCTGAATTGACCGTGTAGCACTCACCCACTCGTATTTATTGTGGGCGGGGAACTGTGTTCTGATGTTTAACTTTGAAAAGTAATGCGGCGCGGCTACAACGGAGTCCTATAGTGTGTACTATGACATTGGTGGTGGAGTGCAGGCGGCAGACGTTCGTTGTTGCCGTCAGTGCTGCGTTGGGGGCGCGGGCGGCGGGGGACGGGGGCGGCCGCGGCTGGTGTACGCGGCGTCGACGCCGAAGTCGTGTGAAGTCGTGTCACAGTGCGGTAGTGCGACACACATTACGAGCGTCGAGCGCGCAGCTGACAGTCCGACATCCGCCGGCCGCTCGCCACGCTGCTGACTGCCGCCTGCTGTCTGCTGTCTGCTGACTGCTGTCTACTGTCTGCTGACTGCTGTCTACTGTCTGCTGACTACTGTCACGCACCCACGTCAGTCGTCGACGACGTGCTCGCTGCTGCCGAGTGTCCGCCGCATCAAGAAATGCCACTAGACGGTCAGTACCCACTCTGACTTTGATTTAAGAATTAGGATACTGAAATGGAATTTAATTACCTGTGAACATTTCAGTGATTGATATTAAAACTAGCTGTTTCCGCGACTTAGTCCGCGTGGAATGTAACTTTATTTTTCTAAAATAAAAGTAGTCTAAGTAGCTCCTTATTACATCACCTACCTGCCAAAAAAAATCCCGTCAAAATCGGTTCAAAGATCAGCCGAAATAAAAAGTTTTATTTATATGTATAGATAAAAGCACATCGACTTAATTCAAACAAAAATCCTAAACGATTGCGATTGTAAGTGTCACTATTTATGAAAAATGCTTTGCGTGAACTTTATAATTTCCAGTAGAAAATACTCATAGCATCCCGACCAATGAGTACACGACTGTATAATACTAGCTTTGGAGACTGTACCGTGGATACCATCGTTTGACCATCACATTTGTAACATTATTTATTTATTTATTCATTGACATCAAAACTAAGCGAGCCTTACAACTTCCCAATATGCTCACTTAGGAAAAATTATACAAAAATACGTCATACTAACTACTCGCCGGCTTCGCACAGTTGTACATGTACGTGTATGTTTATATGTATAATACATGTATTATACATATAAACATTCCTCTTGAATCACTTTATCTATTTAAAAAAACCGCTTCAATATCCGTTACGTAGTTTTAAAGATTTAAGCATACATAGAGACGGACAGACAGCGACACCGACTTTGTTTTATACTATGTAATGATTGACATCGAAACTAAGCAAGCTTTACAGCTTCTTAATACGCTCACTTATGAAAATATATACAAAAATATGATATATTAATAATTAAAAAAAAATATATATTAAAACTACAACAACCTACAATTTTACCATTCTCCATTCTGCTAAAATTCAACAAGTCACATGTAAATATGTGCAGCTCGGGATATCAATTAACAACACCGTTGAGTAGACTCAGTGCAAGAGTAATGGGAGTCTGCTTGACCAGCTCTGTTCTTCTCTTATGTTGTCTCGAACCATTTCTGGACAAACGTAATATTTTCTGCTTAAAGATAATCTCTGAAATGGCTCGACCGATTTTGACGGGACTTTTTTTGGTAGGTACCTGATGCAATAAGGAGTAACTTAGGCTACTTTTATTTTAGAAAAATAAAGTTAAATTTCATTCGCACGAATTCGTGGGAACAGCTACTTATATAAATAAAATTGGAGTGTCTGTTTGTATATACTGGAGTGTTTGTGTTGAAATAACCGTTTTTTACTAGGTGTGCAGTTAGTACGCTATATGTGTGTGTGTGTGTGTGTGTGTGTGTGTAGGAGGAAGTAGTAAGTATGGTAGTAATCAGGAATGTTATGGATATGAAATTATTTCGGATTATCCGTTACTTTCGGTTATGGTTATATTAATATTTTAATGAATTTCAAAAGTAAAATACAAATAGCTAATAATATGGTTAAATAACGTGTCTCAATTAGGCTCCGCCCCTATCCGATATTATCCGAAACTCTTATTTCGGATTCGGTTACGGTTACGGATATTTTTTCATATCGGATATCCGATAGTTTCGGTTACGGTTACGGAGCTCCGTAACATCCCTGGTAGTAATACTATCGGGACTATATTTTGATATATTTATAGATCGGCTGAACAGCAAGTAATTTAATTTTCCTGTTTATTATTTTGCTGATATGTGAACGCAGAGATGTATTGTATGCAAATTACAGTTGTACACACAACTACAGGGTTACACCGCTCCACGTACTCATATCAAGTACTTACCGACTCAAAAATATATATAAGAACTGTTATTTTTAATGAATTTTGAATAACAGGTCGAATGTGAACAGCAAATATTATTCTCATAACATTTTAGTAAGTAGTTGTGTCCGCGATTTGTCCGCTTGAATTTTTAACTTTATTTTTCTAAAATAAAAGTAACCTAAGACACTCCTTATTACATCAGCTACCTGCCAAAAAAAGTCCCGTCAGAATCGGTCCAGCCATTTCAGATATTAGCCGGAACAAATAGACAGACAGATATTTTTTTTATAAAATGTTATTTTAACGGTATACGCTGGCGGGGCACCAGTGGAGGATGATAGAAAGAACATGAAGTCAGATCAGTTAGCCCAACGTGACAAATTCACCGGGAATTTATCATGGTGGTTTCCAGGGGGAACCGCGTGGAGGTCGACCTGACATGGCATAATGCTAGGAATGGGATCATGAGTCCACATTACTAACAATCCTCTTCAGGCCAGAGATACAATTAAGCACTCCCTGTCAATGTGAACTAGTCGAATAATATTTCTAGACTGATGTGGCGTGCGCGAGGGTAATTTATAAAAGGGTCATTGAACCTTGCAAATAGCAGGGTTATTTTAATTTCTTTTGTTGTTGTATTGTATACAATATCCTTGCATTTTTGGCATTGAACCAACGTGTACCTAAAAACTATTGTAATCGTCAAGATTACAAAAATCTTTATTTGTCGTCTCTCTTGTAAGAAGTGATAAACATTCATATGTTACTTGGTCAACGCCCTAAATATAGCTTCTCCCCGCTAAAATATTATAATCTCCCCTTCTTATTATTTCTTATATTCTAGCCCCTCTTCCTCACTAGGCACACTGGGCACGTGCCCAGGGCCCCGCTATGGATTGGAGCCCCCTAGTCTAGTCTAGTCCCTACTCCATTACCAATCAATAACCGATAGCTACTCTACTCTCGCCTGAAAATCAGTCTTAAAATGCTTACCGACTATAGTCAATTTGTACGTTTTTATTAGGTTTTTTATAAATGTATAGCAAGAGCCTGATCCCCTGATAACATAACGACTTTTGAAAAATATTTTTGCCTGCTTTGTTTTGAAGGTAGGGCATCCCCATATACATGTCTATAGAGTAATGACTTTGTCTATTCTAACAAAATAGTGCTTTATTACTATAGTCAGAGGGGCCACACTATTCTAATGTGTCCAGGACCTCTAATAGGTGAAAGACGGCCCTGCTTATGTTGACGCAATCCGACGGTGTTATGTGGTTGGTGCTCGAGTCAGACGGATTTCCCGTTCATATAAACTCGCGCTGGGTTGCCCGCCTATACCGCGCGTGAGACACCACTTCGAAGCTATCCGCTTTGTCTTACTACCTTTAAACACGTCGTATACAGTCCACATCCCACTGAGAGAACAAAGACAACTTTGACCTTGAAGAAGACCAAAACCAGAGACTGGTAGACGCCGTCCATTCCTAGCCATGCCGTCTCGTTCCTTTTATTTATTTGTTTTCGAGTCCAGCCATTTTCTCTGCAAGTGTATTAGGATCGATTGGTTCTCCGTGAGCACATAACTGACTATGAGGAAGCAGAGAATGTTTGTGTGTAGCGAGTAGGTCAGTGCAAAAACCCGCTGATAGTTTTACCTGGTACCACATTAAGGTGTACGTATGTCTAGTCACTAAAGTGTATATCTTCGTGAACACACGGGTATTACTCATTCCGCTGACCGACGCGCTAGCGAACGCACGTATGTGCTCGCTAGTCCCGCCGCCGTCTCGCTGTTCTCTGCTCCCTCGAGCAAACCACCGCGCGCGCACGTAGCGCAGTTACGTTCGCGCGTTCTAATTCTTATACTTCGCCGCGTGTTAGGTGCACTCGGTGCACCTAGCGTGGCCCGGGGCCTCCGTGTCCCGCGCCGACCGCGGCCGACCGCGCTCTCGGCATCCGTTCCGACACAGTGCTACCGGACTTTCCGCGTGTGTAGTGTTGTGTTGTGAGGACTGAAGGAGAAACTCTCTTCGTTCAAGTGAAGTGAAGTGTTGTGTGTGGACGTTCAGTGGCACGGACTGTCGTGAGTTAGGGAGGTGCGTCACGCCTATTGCGCGACGCGCCGATCCGAGCCGCCGCCGCTGCCACCAACACCCGCCGACGCCTGCTGCCTGCCGCCCGCCACCGACGCCACCAAGTAGGTTCGCTTAGGTACACATTTTTCACTCAATAAGATTAGTGATCTTACATATTAGAGTCACATATCAATAGGCACTCACCCCCCTGCCTCACCCGGCAGGGAGGCCCCTGCTGACACCGTCGGCTGCACCCGCCGACGACCGTCCTTATCTTAAGTACTCTTATCTCATTTTTATATTGTTATTTCTACTCTTTGTGTAATATTTTTATATTGTTATTCTATTTCTTTGTGTACCGTTCTATGAAAAATGTCCTTATCAGAGGCCGATATGCCTCTGTTCTTCCAGTTCCTGGAAAAAAAGTGTCCCGGCATTTTAAATGCTTTTATAGCATTCAAAGCCGCCAAGCCTGTGCACTTAGTGTACAGCTCGCCCCCCGCGTCCCCAATGATGACTCAGACTGACACTGACGAATTCGAGGACGATTCCCAACGGCTCCCGCCGCTTCCCCCGACCCAAGCCGACCAGGCCGATCCCGCCTCTCCATCCATGGAGCAGGACGACTCCGTCGCGGAGCTTGACGCTCCTAGTATGGAGCTCGACGCCATCCGCGACGGCGACGTCCCCTCTCCCATCCCCCCGGTCTCCTCAGACGAGGACGATTTTATTCTTGTTGGCAACAAGCGTGCCAAGAAGGCCCAGGGCTCCCAGCCAGCCAAAACAAAGCGTGCCCATGACGGCACCGCTAAAACCGCCCCCGGTCCGAGTGCACGCAAGTCGCACCCCGAGACCAAAGCCCCGCCCCCCGTCATCATCCAGGACAAAAGTGCCTGGAACACCGTATCCAATATGCTTAAAAACAAGCATATCAATTTCAGCCATGCTAAGGCTACCTCTCTAGGGATCAAAGTATCAGTCCCATCATCTGACGACCATCGTCGTCTCACCACCTTCCTGCGGGAGAAAAACATAGGTTATCACACCTATGCTCTCGAGGAAGAGAAAAAGCTCCGCGTTGTAATACGCGGTTTACCCAAGGAGCTCTCAACAGACTCCATCCTTGAGGACCTTCAGTCCC